ATATATCTTTTGGTTGTTCCTTTGGATAAAAGTTTTGTTAGTGTGTAGAGTTCGTGGTCTACGCCGTCTACCGCTTTTATAGGGTAGCACGTTTCATAATTGACGTGGATGGTTCTTGGTAGGCTTAAACTAACCCCCACATAGGCATATATGTATATTTACATATTAGTAGAGTGTGTAATCGACTGACGCTTAGGATGATTAACTTAACCTATTGTACTTAGTCTAGTTCTGTTTATGTTTTCCATGACTTGTCTTCGTCTTTATTTGTCTCAAAGAATTAAGCAAATCACCAACAGTATTTAGGAATTTAAAACAGCAGTTTCTTAACTCAAGTAGATTACGGTGCACAGCCATTTCAAAACAAATAAAATTAAATTAATGATTTATTAATATTAAAACAAAAAAAATCCTACGTACCCCGGTACGATAGAAAAAAACTTCTGAATTAAACATTAATTGGTGGTAAATAAACATAAAAAACGTTAACTAAAATTGTGGTACAAAACAAAATAACGCGAAATAAAATCGATACCTCTAAAAAAAGGTAGTTTTGAAAGAAAATTGTGGAAAGGAATTTATTCCATAACTATATACATACACGTGTGTCATAAAAAAGTGGTGCAGATATAAAAACAAACATATACACATATATATATAAAAAAATATATTTTATTCACATACATACACATTTAAAAAAAATAAAACTGAAGTAAACTCAAACAGTGAAAATAACAAAAAAAATTTACAAAAGAAAATTAGTGGCAGAAACAAAGTGTTAAACACAAAATAAAAAAAATATTAAAAAACAGATACATGCGTATGTACATATAACTAAAGCGCGCATCTAACAAAGTGCGAAGAGGTGAACAAAAAGTTTTCAAATGGAAATTAACAAGGAAGACACCAAAGGAGCTTGACACAATCACCACAAACAACACAGTGAGACATCACCATTACAAACAATTACAAACACCAGAACAACACACATCATCGCACATCCAAAAAGGAAAGAAAAGACGGTTTGGAATTTCAAAATTTATACTGCAATTAGTATACATTCATATATACTTATCTAACAGCGGAACTTTCTTCCCGCCAAGAGACCATTAAAATCAACATAATTTTGCGGTTCCTAAAATCCGTAAAAAGTTACGTCTTAAAATATATATTTTAAACAAAAAAAAAAATAATATTTTTCCAGTTTTAAGCTCTCACAAAAGAAAGGGTAAGCGATCAATTTCTTGACCGCTAATTATATACATAAACGCGAATACAGCATTCCTACTGTATACATTCCGCTTATGTACATACACCTAGATACAAAACAAACCTAAGTCTAATTGCAATTATAAACCCTACTTGCTTTTATAGGTCAAATCTTATAATTATTTGCATTGTCAGCTGTCTTCCATGGTTCAATGATCCATAAAATACAGCATAAAGAAATAATAGCAGAAAATTAATAAAGTGGGAGAAATGCTCCACTTTGTTAACAGAGCGGAGCTTTGAAGCGCTAACTAAGCTAACTGGTTACATACGCACACCTAAGTACTCTTTAATCTGCTCCTATTGTTTTTCAACCTATTATTGTTTTATGCGCTCTCTTCGTTGCACGTGCTGTTGAGGTCAAAATATTTGTTGACATAAATATACACACATACGTATATACCAATATTGCCGTGTATATTCGAACAGCTGTTGTATCTGTTTACGATTGTCATATGCATACTTACATATTTACACGTCGATTTATTTACAAACTATATATAAACTTTATCACTTTATTTTTATTAAATACGTATATAACCCACGTTTATAAAAGTGAAAGTGTTTGTGATTCTTTTTTTCAATTCAAAGTTTAAAGTTGTGATTTTAACAAAAAAAGAAAAAGCACAAACACAGCCACCAGGTTTTTTAAATTTTTGTGTGGCATAAAATGCAATATTTTTCTATAATAAAACGCGAAGTGTGAACATTCGATATTCGTATATACTCTATTTGAACTTCTCGGCTTCATCTATTAATAAACAAAATTATGACAAGTGTGAACTTACAAATATTAGGATAGCAGACCAGCTCGAATCAATTCGAGCATCTACACAGCCGAGTCCACCTTTCCTGAAGAAGCTTCCTCTTCAAATATATGCTTTAAAGTCCCAGCCTGTGACACAGAGACATTCTGAGAGGTCATGAAGAATGGCCAGATTTTCGTGATATGTTCACAGCTGTTTATATTAACCACCTCCGGTACAAAATGGAAGGCAAAGCCGGCTTAAGCGACAAACAATATCCATTGAGCGGACAACAAAGTAAAAGTCCTACTCTCGCTGTCCAACATACAGACCGATAGTAGCGAGCAAATGAATGACTTCCTCACTTCTGGATATGAAGTGGTGGAGTGTCTTAATCGGCTTCATCCAAGCCAAAACAAACCAAAGCCAATCGCCACTCAAAACGCCGCTCACAATAGATCCTTTAACCGGACACAATCATTTGTGGCGGAACAAAAAAGGGATAACACATGTCCGTGTAGCACCCCATTTCCCAATGCCACAATTTCAAGAAAATATCGGTATCAAACCAAAAACGGTTTGCGAAGCAGAATAAACTCTGCAAAAATGCTCAGACCGCCAGCAATAGTTCTCATAACTCTACTGTGCAACAACCAACTGCCAAGTCAACTTCTCCAGATGGACAATCGCATTAGCAAGCACGCATTCAATCATTACATGCGGGACATGATAGCAGAACTCTCCTTGCAACTACCAGCTCACAACCGACATACTTCCACGAATTCTCTAGAAAGGTGTACAAACAATTTGCGAAACAGTACTTGCGCAAAACACAAAAGTTCACAAGTAGAAGGAATCTCAGCTGATACTCTTGGTAATCAATTGAGACGATTCTGTGAAGAGGAAGAAATACCTCAAGCTCAAATGAGGATCAAGCTTGCGAAAATGTATACAAGCAAACCACCAATCGTGCCCCAACTGGTCTGTATATTGTGCGGTTTCCATTCATGGAAGATTATCCTGCAAAACTCTCTTTAAGCCATTCCAGTATGGAGCGCACGGTAAAGAAAAAAGAAGAGTTAAATACCAGATGGAGTACACGTAATCGAGTGAAATAATCTCCAGTGGGAACTATCACTCATTCTACAATACTTGCCGCATCAAGCGGTTTTAAAACCGGATAAAGCCACCACTAAAGTTCGAGTGGTGTTTAACGCCTCCAGAAAATCAAGGTCAGGCAATTCGCTAAATGATGTTTTGCATACTGGTCCTACTGTCCAACGAGACCCCATGCCATTATTCAATGGCGCATGTACAAGTTTGTATTCAACGGAAATATTGAAAAAAATGTCTCAAACCCCTGATAAAAAACTTCATTTTCCAATGTAGGGCATGTACGCTTTACAAGCAAAAGACACACACACAAATTATTGCCGCTCTACCCCCTCAGCGTTGCACATTCACGCTACCATTTTCTACAACGGTAGTAGATTTTGCAGGGCCATTTCAAATAAAAGCTTCAGTCTTGAGGTCGAACACCTATTTCAAAGGCTATGTTGCAGTCTTCGTCTGCTTTACAACGAAGGCCGTGCATCTTGAGCTATGTTCTGATTTGACAACGCGACTTCGTTAAATTCCTTAACTAATGATATGTCTACATAGTCCAAAAATATGCTCCTCAAGGCATACATTCCTCCCAGCAAACCCAACATGGGTGTCATCAGCAGTTAAAAGCTTTAAAATTCAAAAAAGAAACCGCTGCATCGTTTTGGAACGTTTGAGGAATTCACTACACTATTTGTGCGAATTGAGGCAGTTCTCAACTCGAGACCTCTGTCAACTATATCGAAAGACACTGCTGGCCTCACTGCACTCCTAGTCATTTTAATCGGGGCACACCGCTTAAGACCATCCCTTAGCCGAACGCAATATACCTTTCATTGACCAATCGATAGGAGAAGATTAAAGTCCTTCACCACGAACTCAGTCGACGCTGGAAGAAGGAATATCTCAAAGATCTTCAGAAGAGATATAAGTGTTAGCTCCACTCTAAAACTAACAACATTCGCTCGAGCACGACAGCTTTTAAGCCGCGGATACTGCATTATAATTGTTTTTAATTAGGATTTTAAATGAAAGTATTTTTTATGAGGAGTTATATACATGTGAAACGCCATTAAATTAAATTTTCTCATTAAAAATTTTTAACATATTTATTAACAAAAAAAAGTGATTTATTATTTAAACTTGGGCCCATTCGATAGCCGGCACCTCCCTTACTTCCTTTCAAGTCCTTAGAGACTTGAAAAATAAGTATTTGCCGACCAAAAAATTTTGACTACATATTTCTCTCACTTAGCTGGGGTTAGCTCACTTTTATCAAGGTTTTCTTAGCTACCAAAGCGCTATTTTCCATAGTGACAACAAATTTCATTTATAAACATAAATATATTTAAATATACAATGTTCAGCTTTGTACTCAACATTGAGGTTATGCATGAAACTCTATGCTTACAAGTAAATAAAGCTACGAATGACAACTGAAATGGAAAACGAGATAGATAAGGTGATCTCTACAGTGGGCTCAACCCTGAAACAGACGTTAAACCTTCCTATATATCTTGGAGGATGTCAACGTTTTAGCCCAATGGGCAAGTATATCTATAGACAAATCACATGCTACTTGGCTTATTTAAAGTTTTATCGCCTTTTTATATAATTCCGTACGTAGGCTAAATGTTATTCTATACAAAAACTACAATATTATTGTGAAACAGTTTAAATTAAGTTACTTATACATACATATGTAGATGTAACAAGTTAATTCATGTTTATACATGTTTATGACATTCAGGTATGTTATTAGTATATATGTGTAGGAATAATCATTTTACGCAAATTTTTGGTTTTATTTAATATCTTAAATATTTAATGCAAAAATTTTAGAATATTTAAACTTAAACAAATTAGTATTTTGAACTAAAGCTAACTAACTAACGGTTTTACTTCACTGCGGTCCGAAATCAAGTGTCTAGCTGTCCGTTTTTTAAATTCGGCGTCCCTTGTTGTCGTTCTTTTCCTTAAGTCTTTCGTTAAGTATAGATAATTATATAATACAAGTAAAATAATTTTAATTTTTTCATACCATAATCTTTCTCATAGAGTATTCCAGCCTTGGTCCAATTCAAATACCGAATAACATCTTCAAAAGCTGTGTTCACGTACTTCTGTGTTGGATGCAGGTTTATCGAAAACTCAGTGTCTTCCATTTGTAAATCGATTCGGGATTGTAAATGTGGTATGTCGAGGGCATCACATACCGAATGTATATGAGCTCCTAACATAGCATTGAATGGTCCAAAAACAGCCTGTATGCCAGAGTTAATTTGTGTGCAAACTTAAAAATAACAAAATAATCATAACTGAAAGCAACGCTTTATAGATAAAAGATGACAAGTGCGATATAAAGATATTTTGTCTTTTTGATCACTTTGCATCAATCGCATACACAATTTTTGAATATTAAAATGTTTATAATACCTTTTTGGCAGGCGTGAAAGGAATCGTCATTATCGACATGTTGTAAATCAAACGTTATTTTTGTATCCGGTAGCAAAATTGTGTCTTTGTTAACGCTATGTATGGCATATTTAAATGCGAGTTCAATTGGACCATTATGCTTTTCCGAAGATATAGCCCCTGTTGTATATTAATATAAGTTAATATTTATGTACATCTGTATATACTATTTATAGAATATAAAAAATGTCAACAAAAATAACATTGGGGGAAGTTGCAGAAGCACCTTACTTAATCGAACTGTAACATTATATATTTGTAACATTTTCTTAGAAAAGGTAGGATAACTTAACACAATCTTGTGACAAGTAACAATAACGTTGTATGTGTACCATTTTTCATTAACATAACATAGCTTCTTAACTTTTGTCCGAACTAGTATATGTACTCGTATGTAAGTTGTTAATATGGCTAGAATGACGAGCTTAGTTAGCCTTGTCAGTACATACGTAAGTTCACCTGTATGTTTAAACAAAATCTAGTCGGTTTTTTGGAAAAATTTAGAAAAAAATTTGGCGTGTATCTAGTTACCATTTAACTGCCTGTTAGACATGTAGTTTTCGTATATATGACACCACTTGTACGGAAATATTAATATAACATGTATATAATATATAATTGTCACTTTTGAACCAAGGGATTTTCCACCGAGCTCCTCCTCCAATATGTGGTTTTGCGTCTTTATGTTTTTCCAACAAATGGAGGGACCTACAGTTTATAAAGTCCGAGCGGCTAATGCTTTTTTATGAGCAGCTTTATTTCAGGTCAGAAATACACTCGTAGGCGACTGCATTTAGAATTTAAATTAATGTTCTATAACTTTTGGATGTTGGTCGCAAGGGGATTTGAGCCCGAGCCTTCCGAATGGCAGTATGCAATGCTAACCACTCGGCTACCGCGGCTGTCTTGTATGTAAATATATATTTATAAAACAAATAACCCTTCATTGATTTGATGTACTTACCAATATATGAAAAAAGCTTCAACAAAAATATCGTGACAAAGAATATTTACAGCGACCGTCCAGTTGAGAGGACATAAGGCAGTTTGCCAGCTAAGGATATTAATAAAAATATGACAAAGTTCATGTATAAGCTACTTCGCAGAGATGAAATAAGTAGATACTCTCCGATTGGAATCTTTTCGGGCGTATTGTTTGAAAGATCAAAGCCCATCGACAACAAATTGGTTGGGCTTTATCTGGGAAATCTATAAGCACGAAAAAGCTACGTATGCCGTTATGTCTGGATTTGGTATTTCAGCAAAACTTATATGGTTACATAAAGGACCCTGAGAAAAGCTTAATCAGGATCGTGAGTTACCTCTCAAAGCCTTTCGATATCAAATAGGGCTTTAGAAAAGTTTTTTCTCTATAGTGTAGCTTCTATAATCTGTTGTTGAAGACAATAATTCAAACTACAGAGCTAAACGGAGTAATTATAATACCTGTAGTTATATGACACCGTGTGTTGTCATAACTTTGAAGTCGTAAATAATTTCGTCTATCGGACGGAAAGAAACAATTGGAACGCTTTTGTTAACTGGGCTGTAATCGTATAAGCGGTGCCTATGCCAATAAAGGTAATCGATATAATTAAATAAAGGGGCTTTTATAAGAAAGCAGATCAAAGAGCGATATTGTAAGAATTTATGGAACGTAACCTTTATTTATGTGATCGGGTGAAAGTCTACTGTTAATCGCAAGTGCTGACTGTTATTTTTAATAGTAAAGGCCCACAAAATGTTATCTGTATTACAGTGAATTTGGATTTCTTGAAATGTAGGGTTTGATCGAAAGTAACTTAACTGTTAAAGTTAATACTCACCGACATGTATGACTGGTGGCAGTGTTAAAGAGTTACGCAGTAAAACAAACAAATGTAAGCAAATATACGTCCTATGTTTAGGAAAATCCAACATTTGATTTGATTTCATTAGAGGTTTTCGAATTCTAGATATTGTAAATTCATCAGCATCCACTTTTTAGCGACTATAACCACAATAAGAAACTGAAAGTAACAAAACGTTTTTATATCCTTTTAATTTCCTTTATAAGAATCTTTAAGTAAATTAATTTCAGTTTATCAAAGAGGTGAGAGAGCTGTTTGAGTACACAAGCAATTAAGCACTGCTCATAAAAATAAAATAAAATAAAATAAAATAAAACATACAGTGAAAATAATTAAGCGAGTGCTTAAGTGTAATCTGAAGAAAACTTAAAAAAAGTAAACCACTAAGAATAAACTCCAAATTAAATAACACAACACAATATTAATAAACAATAAGTACAAGCAGAGAAATAAACAAAAACGTTATTCTGTGAGTACAAAAACAAAAATGAGTGCGACGCGGCTAAACCCGCCGGATCGAAGGCTCCCAAATGCCTATTTTTCTGATTTCGAGCAAACAACGCCAACACAAACAACGGCAAAAGAAAGCAACATGTAAGCAGAAGACTCTCAGCAGTACTCAGCCAGCGCTAAACAGACGGCGAAGGAAATCGCCCACCATTACAAATGAAAAGGAACAGGCAAGCGGTAAGGCCAATGACATAAAAAAGAATACAATAATACAGACAGGACTAGATCGATATATAAATATCAAGAGGAAATCAAGTCCTACTAAGAGCACTAACAAAAAAAAAAGTGCAAATGAGTGGAACTAATGTAAAAAGCCAAGAACCCTACAGTAGCAACCGAATTGCTTTATTAAGTGAGGACAGCGTAAAGGGCACTACCACAATTGCAAATGCCAAACCACCGCCAATTTACTTGCGCGAACGTCTCTCAAGCACGTTAGTTAATAATATTACCAAAATAGTCGGCACTAATAATTTTCACGTTGTGCCTTTAAAAAACGTACCATCGATGAAACAAAAATTCAAATTTACAGTGAGAAAAGCTTCATGGAAATAGTAAGTTTTCTATCGTCGAGCAATAAAAATTATTACTCATATCAACTGAAGAGTCGAAAGGCCTAACAGTTGTAATTAATGGTATCGAATCTTCAGTCAAGCCAGATGAAATAAAATAGGCTCTTGAAAAGAATCGCTTCAGAATCAAATTGGTTATAAACATACTTAAAGGAATAAAGTACCCCAGCCAATGTTTAAGGTAGAACTAGAGCCCAATTCAAGTCAGACAAAGAAAAACGAAACCTATCCCATATACAATTTAAAATATTTGCTACATCGTATGGTAACAGTAGAAGAGCCACACAAATGAAACGGCCCAGTGCAATGCACTAACTGCCAAGAATTCGGCTATACTAAAACTTACTGCACACTGCGCAGTGTTTGCGTAGCATGTGGGGACCTACACCCTAGGTCTGAATGCACGTCAAAAAAAGATGATGCAACCATGAAAAAATATAGTAGCTGTGGAGGTAATCACACTGCGAATTATAGGGGCTGCCCTGTATATAAAGATCTAAAAGTAAGGTTGGCAAATAATATCCAGACTCGTCGAAGTCAAATGGTAAATACTCCTCAAATCCAATTTGTAGAAAAGGCTACAGATAAAACTGCTCCAAACCTGCAAAATATGAATCATAATAAATTATCTTTTGCGAATGTACTGAAGAATAATTCAGATAATATTCCACAGAACCAATTGAATGGAGTTATAGAATCGATGATTTAAAATCTTACGCAGTACATGACACAGTTCATGTCAACTATGCAAAGCATGACCCAAGACTTGATTAAAGCCCAGAATAACATGCTACAAATCTTCATGCAAAAAAATGAGCGTGATGAACATTTGTTTATGGACTGCAAACGGTGTGCACCAATATAAATTAGAATTGGCACGATACTTAACAGAGTATGCTATAGACGTAATCTCAGCCATTTTTTGCCGTCCAAAATTTAAGATCACAGAAAATCAATTTAAGGAATTTTTTGATAATCTTGGTGATAGATTTATAGCAGGAGGAGACTACAATGCAAAGCATGTATACTGGGAATCTCGTCTAAAAACCCCAAAGGCCGTCAGCTATACAATACCATTATAAACAAACGTAACAATTTGGACTGTGTTTCCCCAGGTCAACCAACATACTGGCCTACCGATCGGAATAAAATACCTGACTTAATAGATTTTGCTGTCTCAAGAAAAATCGACAGGCAACTTCCATCAACGAGAGCCCGAAAATAGTGGCACAAGAATCAAGACTAACAAACAGAGAAACCAACTGGCTAAAATACAAAAAATATACTAGTATATATTGACATCAACCCAATATTGAATTGTGAAAACGATATTGATGACTACGTTAATGAGATAAATAATGTACTTGTTTCTGCGGCAACCATAGCAACTCCAAAAAGTAAAAAGCCTACTACGTGCCCAAAAATTTTAACAAATACAGAAATAGAAGAAGTAGTAAAAAATAAGCGGCGTTCGCGGAGAGAATGGCAAGAATATCGCTCTCCAGCAGCAAAGGTACGGTTAAAAGCAGCAGAGAGGAAGCTGAACAGTGCACTAAAACAAGCAGAAGATCACAATGCCAAGGCATACATAGAAAAATTAGCGCAGAGTTCTGCCAAAAAATACTCACTGTGGAAAGTACAAAAGAAACTTAACCCTCCAATAGAAATGAATATGCCAATCAGGGACCCAAATGGTAACTGGACACGTAGTAACGAAGAAAAGCCAAATTGCTTTGCAAAGCATTCAAGTAATGTATTCCAGCCAAGTAACGCAACTAATAATTTTATTCTGCCGGAATTTGTTATTAACGGCCAGGAAAATCAGGTGGCAATTACAATATCAAGCCTAGAAATGGTAAACGCGATACAGAAACTGATTCCAAAGAAATCTCCAGGCCACGACCTCATTACATCTAAAATGCTTATACAGCTACCAAGAGTTGCAAAAGCATTGCTCTCTGAACTCTTTAATGCCATTCTAAAACTAAATTACTTTCCAAATGCGTGGAAAAAGACCACACACAGACGGCGTCTTACAGACCAATAAGCCTACTACCCAGTCTTTCCAAATTATTTGAAAAAATTCTGCTATCAAAAATATCTCCTTTTCTCCACCGTAACAATGTGATACTAGATCACCAATTCGGCTTTCGTGAAAAGCATAGTACTATCGAACAAGTTAACCGAATAACTAATGAAATCAGAAAGGCATTCGAGCTCAAGGAGTACTGTTGTACACGCTTTCTTGACGTAGCACAAGCGTTCGACAAAGTCTGGCATAAAGGTTTACTGCACAAAATACATAAAGCTCTGCATGCTCAATTTTATATGATACTTAAGTCATATCTGACTAACAGACAATTTACCATTAAACAATCTGAATTTATCAGTGAGGAGTATACAGTAAAAGCTGGCGTTCCGCAGAGTAGCGTCCTCAGGCCTATTTTATATATCATATACACTGCAGACATCCCATTGCAGACATCTACCTGTGCGAATGACACAGCTATTTTATGCCGCGATAAATGCCCTAAAAGAGCAGCAAACGATTAGTGATCAATTACTCCTCAGCGAATTGGAAAATTAAAGTTAATGAACAAAAGTGTAAACACGTTACATTTACTTTAAGGCCGCAGTCATGTCCTGCGATTCGCTTAAATGACATAAACATTTCTCAAGTAAATGATGTTACATATCTCGGTATACACTTATATAGACGTCTCACTTGGAAGAGACACGTAGAGGCAGAAATACTACACATGAAATTAAAAGCAGCTAGTTTAAATTGGCTTTTAAATAAAAACTCCGGTCTAAATTTAGACTACAAAGTCCTTATTTACAACGCAGTATTAAAACCAATTTCGATGTATGGTATTCAACTGTGGGGTACAACCTGTGCAACTAATATCGATAAAATTCAGAGGTTCCAGTCAAAAACTTTAAGAGCACTAACGGGCGCACCATGGTACGTTCGTAACGTCAACATTCAGAAAGACCTTGGTACTTTACTGGTTAAGCCTGAAATTGAAAGAAGCAGGACGAAGTACTTCACAATGAAATCATCCAAGTCCCCTAGCTAATGCTTTGTGCAACCCATCGAGAAATTCCCGCCTTCTAACGAGAGCGCCGTAGTTTGAAAAGGGCTCAGAGATAAATAACTCGAGCTATCATATTTGTAATTTCGTTTTTAAGATTTGTACACTTACTGTTAGGCTTATATTAAAGCAGATTAAGTAAATAAATGAATTCTGTATAGAAAAAAAAAGTTTAACAAAAACTTTTTTAAGTCAAATTTAAGTACTAAGCATGTTTCGGAGTGGAAGTGATCGTAAAGGAAAAGTTTTGCAGCAAAACCGAGTTAAGATTGAGGATATTAAAATAACACTGTTCGGTAAGAAATGTCAGTAAGATTTGGACGATTTTGAACGAAATTGAGAGGTTAATATATATTTCTAGTTTTTCTACTGTTAGTTTTAAAGCAAAAACTTTGCTTTTCTGTTACCCCGGATCTGTTCATTATTTTGTCTTCCTCAGGGAGTACTAACAAGGTAACATAATTAACAAAAAGTATACAAAAGCATTTTCTTCAAACAAATATATATCATCATATCCTATCGAGCCATTAATCAGTTTTTATTGCTGCTTGGCGCCAATTGGAGATACTAAGTAGAGCCAAGTCCCTCTATACCTTGTCTTTCCAACGAGATCTTCCTCTGCTTCCAACGGCGGGTACTGCACCGAAAACTTTCAGGGCCACTTGACCTAGCCAGTGAAGTCCCTGTTTCTAGATTCCCTGATCTATGTCAATGTTACCGTATATCTCACACAGCTCACCATTCCATCATCAGTGGTATTCGCTGTTGCCAATGCTTAAAGGACCTTTAATCGTTCGCAAAACTCTTCTTCCGACTACTCCCAAAGCCGGCTCATTAGATGTTGTCAGCGTCCATGCTTCCGTACCATATATAAGGACGGGAACGATGAGGGACCTGTAGAGCTTGGTTTTCGTTCGCCGGGATAGGTTTTTACTTTTCAATTCCCTACTCAGTCCAAAGTAGCACCTGATAGCAAGAGTGCTTCTTCGTTGAAACTGAAACTACGACTTCAAGGTTATGACTGTCGACAGTGACGTGGGAGGCGAGTCGCGAATGCGACGGCTGTTTGTGTGGTGATAGGAGATATTTTCTCTTGCCCTCTGTCACTACCAGACCCATATCCTTCGCTTCCTTATCCAGTCTGCAGAAAGCAGAACTCACTGCGTGGTTGTTGAGGCCAAAAATGAAAATATCATAGGCATACGCCAGCAACTGTACACTATTTTAAAAGATTGTACCTTTTCTATTCACACATGGACACATTAGAGAAGGGCTTGATGGAAAAATTTTCAACCTAATAGTAGAAAATCACAAAGAGTAAAAGAGATATATAAAAAGCTTACCGAGAAACATACATACAAAAATTCCTGTACATATTAAGTAAAGTTTTGAAAAAGTCGATGTTAAATGGTTTACTAAATTTATATTTGTTTGGTCTACTACAAAAACATCTTTGTTTTCGTAATAATTTAGCTTTGGATTTATTTGAAACTCACTGAACTGAGCTTTTTCGAGTCGCTGATTGCATATGAATCCAAAGCAATATTTCAAAATTAAAATGGCTATAAAACTTATAATTTCAGAACTACTTGGGACTTCATACTCGGGGAGTTTTTGAGAACGCTAATTATTAATCCCGTGTTGGTTTTCCAAAACTGAAAATGATTAATTCCATATGGCGAAAAAATATTTCAAATATTCATCGATTCACATGAACTCTGCACTCGAAGTTTTTTGGAATCGCAGATGACGAACATTGCAACAGATTTTTCAAGTTAAATATATATTGGACGAATTTTTGAAAATATATTCACTATCCATGACTATGGATATCACTGAGCTTGAATCAGCAAATTACCATTTGCAGAGTTGTCGCCGTATCAACAGTTTGCATGTTCAAGGCATGCTCCAGGAAAAGAGCGCTTAACTTGGTAAATTCTGAATTAATTATAATCAGCTGAACTCACTCGTAGTTGTGAGAAAGATTGTATTTTAGTCGTACTCTGGATTTTAATATTTTTGTCAATTTCAGTTTACATATAGAGGCGCATGCGTATCTTCGCTACAACAAGTTAATGTTCCGAGTCGATGTTGGATCCTCGGAATGTACCCACGTCAAGAACACTGGAGACATGTCTTCCGCCTATCACAACATGATCGATCTGATTTTGTGTTTCTCCATCAGGGGGCAGCCTCAACCCATTCGGGGATGTTTCGTTGTGTAGGCTGAATTCTACAACAGTCGTACCATGCCCACCCTGGCATTAAAATCGCCAATCACGATTCTCCCATCATGTGGGGAGCAGTGCTCCTAAGTATGCTCAAGGCGCTCATAAAAGGCATCTTTGGCCAAATCGTCCTGCTCTTCCGTCGGGGTGTTGGCTTTAATGCGGATTATGGCGAGATGCTCATTCACTGAGGTGAATGTCGGTACTCGACCACGGAGTCTCTCTACCACCACAAATCTAACACCAAAATTGCCTTCCTTAATATTGCCGCTGTTGTAAGTGTCACAAGAACTTACTCGCATTCGTCCTTATCCCGTCCATCGAACTTTTTGGACGGCGGTAATGTCAGCCTTTATTCTTACGAGGACATCAACTAGATGAGCAGTGGGACCTTCCCAATTAAGGGACCGGTCATTCCAGGTGATCCTTAATTCGTTTGCGGGGGTCGTCAACAGAAAGGGGGTACCTCATCCGAGGCATTGTTTGGTTTTTCATTGGAATTGGTTTTTAAGTGACGGGTCCCAAGCCCAGCGCAGCTCTAAATATTTTACATCGTATGTTTATTTTTTGTAATTTATAAGAAA